ATAGCAATGGCCTCCAACCTAATAGCGATGGCCTCCAACCTAATAGCGATGGCCTCCAACCTGATAGCAATGGCCTCCAACCTAATAGCGATGGCCTCCAACCTAGGGACATCTTGGGAATGGGTTGGACGATCTTGTTGCACATCACTGTTTACACGACATGCATGTCAAGTTCTTCTACGACGAAATGGGCACCAGAGGTACTTCATTAGGAATTCTGCAAATGGTCCAAACTGCTCCCCAAACTGCAGGGTCGTGGAGTTAGCTCCAGTCCACATTCGCCCTGAATACCTTCAATCACAACGCTTTCGCATTGCTGGCGTGGCATCCTCCTGGATGGAGCCCCTAGTGCTGATCTCCAGTCAGTCTAGTAGGGTTCACTGAATGAGTGGCCACTCCCTTAGGGATTCCTCAGGCAACTGCAAAACGCTCGTTCTGGAGACATGACGGTTGACTTTTGGAGACTCTAGTAGTCCCCCACAAGAGTGTCCTGCAGATGTGTCCGAAAAATGTGTCCACAGGGAATTGCGCCACAAGAGTGTTCCACAAGAGCGTCCAACAAGAGTGTCCTGCAAGAGTGTCCCACAAGAATGTCCCACAAGAGTCTGTGTCCCACAATAAAGCCACACAAGAGTGTCCCACAAGAGAGTCCTAGAAGAGAGTCCCACGAGAGTGTTCCACAAGAGTGTCCGACAAGAGTGTCCTACAACCACACGAGTGTCCTACCAAGAGTTTTCCAAAAAAGGTGCCCAAGAGTGTCCCACAAGAGAGTACAAGAGTGTGCCGCAAGAGTGCCCCACAACCTGTGCGGTCCGGAGCGTTCAGTGTACACCTGTGGGCTCTCCCAAACATGTTTTGCTCAGCCTCACGCAGGAATCACGCACCATCCTTACTCACCTATATAAATGGGTCGTCAGGACCCCCTCCTTACTCCAGCAAGGTTGGAAGACCGTAGGCTGCTCCATTACGGGAAAGTCAGGGGCCAAAGGTCGGTATTGGAAGTGCAATGATTCCAGTCAACATGATAGAAGGAATACCATGCATGTAAGCTCTGAGAATTCCACTTCTCTTTGCTCACGGTATGGAGGGGCGACGGGGGTGTTTCTTGAAATAAGTGTTTCATGGGGTTTTGCAGCTGAAAGGGTTCATGGACTCTGAAGAATTTTGTTGGTGCCTGTAAATCGCAATCTATTGAAGTTGGAGCAGCGGAATTGTGCCAAGGTCCCTCGAAAACACCACTGATTTGTTCCTTCAGGACTGGTCATGCGCCGGTTGTGCGAGGAAAAGGCTCTCTTTGGGGAGCAGCGCCCTCATTTCCACTCCCGCTTGTGTTTAGGGTGGAAGGAGGTTCAAAAGACATCGTCCTTATTTGCATGTCTGTGCATTCATGCATTATGTTTTCAGTCAACAGTATTTGACTCACTTTCACAACCTCTCTTGATTGATGTGTGACGTGTGCGTGTGACGTGTGCGTGCGTGCGTGCGTGGGTGTGTGTGTGTGTGTGTGTTTCTTTTTGAGTTTGGACTTCACCTCGTCCCAATGAACGGCCGTTCTTCACGGCCGCGGTACGTGCGGTACGTGCGGAGTCGTGCTTCAGGCCATTTGCAGCCGTCCTGGCTGCGGGGGATGATGTGTCCGATGAGACCATGCGACGGAGCTCGGTGGGGGTGAGGATGGCCAGTAGGATGGCGCCCGGCATGGCTTTGACGGAAAGAAGACAAGAGGATGGCAGCCATGGCCTTGACTTGACCTTTTGGGCCTATTTGGGGCTTGACTGGTTGATGAATAGGTATGAATAGGAGTTCCTCCAAGTGAACAGGCAGATCCAATGGTACCAACACTTTGTGGCCTTTTGTTCTAAGGTCTGACAGGTCTGACATGAAAAGATGTTGGAGCATTTGCAGCCGGAGATGTTTGTTGATAAACAGTAGTTGCTCATACGTTGCTCATGATCCCAACATCCTCCAACTCATGTTGCGAAGATGGGCCGAACTGGCCTCACGGGCCCGCACGGCACGGCCCCGTCCGCGCGTTTGCGGGCTCCGAGGTTTGAGGCGGCGCCGCCGGACTACCTCACCATCAAGGCCAGCTACGGATCTCCAGAAAAGGGAGGATTGAAAAAGGCGCGAACGGTTCGACACCCCATGTTCTGTACATGAAAATACGTGGGAGTTGTGTTTTCATGTTTCGACAAACATGGGGGTGTGAAACATGGGGAACATGATGGTGTGTCGACATGTTTTGTGTGGAGTTTTGTTTTCGCAAAGATGAGCTCCCTGCTTGCACTTCCTCCAAACCCTGCATGTCAGTCGGGGGCACCCTGTCATTCTATGTCATTCTTGGACGCCAAGCGTCCGTGGACCTCGTTCTCGGAGAGGGTGTCGGCTCAGTGCGGCAAAAGATAGCAAGGCAGCCTGAAGGCAAACATCTCCAAACACCCCCCCTTGCGATCTGTTGCAGGTTGGTGATGGTCAAACCCTTGCCAGCTTTCGCATGGAGCTTAGATCTGTGTGTTGAGGTTGTATGCTCCCTCACAGCCTCACAGTCACGCCTTCCTTTTTGCTTTCGTGCAGTTCTTGTTGCTCACTGCCCCTTTTGGTGAAGCGAAAAGTAGGACGTTCGCGAACGCGGTGCTGCCTGGCGCAGAAAGGTCGACCCATTGCACCAGCCACCTCTCCACTCGCGGCCTGAGGAGCTGGAACACCTCATGAGCTGAGAGAATTTCTTTCACGCTTCTAGTCGATTTGAGCCGCCTGGGAGCCTGGCTCAGGTGTCGACTGCAGGTCCCCAAACCCTGAACAAGAATGACCCGTCGCGTGAAACCTGTGTCGACTGCAGTCCGAGAAAAAAAACACATTCATCCAAAGCCTCAAGCGCGCCTCGGGTGTTCTACTTCGCGTGGCGAAACGAAGATGACATTGTGAAAGTGTTTACCCAGACGCTCCAAACAGCCCGACTGGTCCTTGAAAACCATAGGGATTGGTTTGGGTCCAGACCCCTCCATATGAGGGTGCAACCCCTGCGTATGAGGGTCCAGGAGTGTCTGGGTAGTTGTTGTTATTTTCAAATCCACGCCATCTTGACAGCAACTGCCTGAGCGAGCTGAACCTTCTTTCCTCTTCACAGATTCTGGTGCATGATAGGCGAGTGGCAAGACCATATGGCTGCATGTATATAGCGTTAAAAGAACTGATGCATCATAAGTGATTCGTGCTCACCATGATTCTGTCTTCATGATGAATCAGAATCCACAGTGGTACCATGACGCTTCAGCGATCCCGAAGGGTCTTTTTCTGCCGATTCAGGTGGATTGCAGTTGATGAGACCATGGAACAGAAATGGCCTCATGGCACTGCAAGTGTTCTCAAGGTCTGCTGCGCTTTGCTGTGTGACAATCCACTCTTTCGTGGATCAATTTGCTGGTCGGCTTGGTGAAAACCACGTCCTTGTAGTGAAATCACGTCTTCGTGCTCGTGTCGACACAGGTGGCACTCTGAGGTGGAGAATGACAGTGCAATGTTGTTCTCACCATGCACATATTCTGTAAACATTTGTGTGGTCAAATTCATAAAGTGGCTCAGCAATTGAGATTCAACTGACAGAGATGAGATGGTCCCTGTTATTCCCCGGTGAATTTGACCGCAGAGAGAGTGCGTGAATTTCGCGGCTTTTTGCTCAGTGGGCAAATGACGCGCTTTACTCTACACCTTGAGCTGAAATGCAGTCCTGTGGGGGCTCTGGCACAGAAATCACATATTTCTGTCAAAGACAGACTTTCTAGTTGGCTGAGGTGATGATAATCACCCGACTGTAGACATGAGATTTGCCCAAGGCTGTCATGCTTTGCGATGGCAATCTGGGCTGTTTGTTTACATCAAGCCGAAACAACTCCAACTCCAACAAATATCAATTTGCTTGCCCAGTGAAGACTGGGTGAGCCTCTTTGAAAGAATTGCAGCGGCGCATGGTTGGCCTCTTTGTTATGAAATAGGTCTTGCTTTCATATGTTTTCATGAAGTAAAACACGCAAAGATCGTGAACTGAACTGTGTGACGATGGAGGCATGGCTGTGATTCTGCAGCATCGTTATTGCTCCCGTTCCATCAAGCAAATTCCAACAATCTGCTGAATGGAGACGTCGCCAGGTATATTTTCTTATGTGCAAGACATTGGATGAACGAATTCCTATTTCGAGGATTTTGGTCGTCCGAAGCGTCGCTTACAAACAAGAACAATTCAAACAATTTGGACATGAAAAACATCACCCCAAAAAATATACATACATTTATATATATAATATATATATATATAATAATTATATGTTCGTTTTGAATATATTAATATATCTATGAATTATGATCGATATAAATGAAAAATATTTGAATAGATATGGATAGGTTAATGAATAATATATATGCATCTTTATTTCTTTTATATAATGATGGAATATTTACATAAAATATTGTTTTGTGTCGTTGAGGAGGTCGTATTTTGTCGTGGATTTTAGTACGGCGATTTTGGCGTCGTTTAGTTATCGATATTAATTTTATAATTGATATATCGGATTTAGGATTTGGATTATTAATTTTCGAAGGAATTTATATTTTTTTACTATTGCGGTTATTTGATTGATTTCCGTAGTTAGCGAAGATTATATTTTTCTTATCCGTAGGATTGTGGGGTTGTTAGATTTTTGGAGTTTAGTACGCTCGATAATTTAACTTAGTTTTTCTATAACACATTGGCCAAAGTGGATTTTGAATAGTGTAACTTATTTTTTTATAATTCATTGGTTGAAGTGGTATAATACACTTACCAAAGTGGTCCTTGAGTAACCCAAAATAGCTCTTTTATAACCTATTGGCAGCCTAACCTAGCTCTTCTATAACACGCTCACCAAAGTGGTCCTTGAGTCGCCTAACTTAGACCTTCTATAGCACACTGGCCAAAGAGCTCCTTGACTAACGCAATTTAGCTTTTAAGTGGTCCCTGAATAGCCCAACTTAGATTTTCCACAACATACTGGCTATAGTGGTCCTTAAGTTGCGCAATTTAGCTTTTCTATAGAACACTGGCCAAAGAGGTCCTTGACTAGCGCAACTTAGCTTTTCCATAGCGCACTGGCTAAAGTGGTCCTTGAGTAGCCCAACTTAGCTCTTCTATAGTACACTCACCAAAGTGGTCCTTGAGTAGCCCAACTTAGATCTTCCATAGCACACTGGCTAAAGTGGTCCCTGAGTAGCGCAATTTAGCTCTTCCACAGCACACTGGCCAAAGTGGTCCCTGAGTAACGCAACGTAGCTCTTCCACAGCACACTGGCCAAAGTGATCCTTGAGTAGTCAACAGTAGCTCTTCCACAGCACACTCACCAAAGTGGTCCTTGAATAGCCTAAAGTAGCTCTTCCACAGCACACTGGCCAAAGTGGTCCTTAAGTAGCCCAGCTTAGCTCTTCCACAGCACACTGGCCAAAGTGGCCCCTGAGTAGTGCAACTTAGCTCTTCCACAGCACACTGGCCAAAGTGGCCCCTGAGTAGCGCAACTTAGCTCTTCCACAGCACACTGGCCAAAGTGGTCCCTGAGTAGCCCAAAGTAGCTCTTCCATAGCACACTCACCAAAGTGGTCCCTGTTCACCAAAGTAATCCCTGAGTAATTCAATATAGCTCTTTGATAGCACACTCACAAAAGTAATCTCTGACTAGTTTAACTTAACTCTTCCACAGCACGCTCGCCAAAGTGATCCTTGTTCACCAAAGTAATCCCTGAGTAGTTCAACGTAGCACTTCCACAGCACATTCACCAAAATGACCTCTAAGTATTGACACCACATTCACCAATCTGATCCCTGAGTAGTTAAACCTAAACCTAGCTTTTCCACAGCAAATTCACAAACTGATTTCTAAGTAGCTCATCTTAGCTCTTCCACAGCAACCACAGTTCTTAGTAGCGCAACTTAGCTTCTCCACAGCACATTTACCAAAGTGATTCCAAGGTAGTTGTAGAGTTGCAATGTACTTATCAAGCCAACAAAAGCTGCGTTTTTCTCACCCGTAGGCCTGTCGGTTGTTAGGTTTTTAGTACTTCGGACTTTAGTACTCCCGGTCGCCCAACTTAGCTCTTCTATAGCACACTCACGAAGTGGTCTCTGAGTAGCACAATTTAGCTTTTCCACAGCACACTCACCAAAGTGGTCCCTGAGTAGCTTAGCCCTTCCACAGCACACTCACCAAAGTAGTCCGCGAGTAGCCCAACTTAGATCTTCCATAACACGTTGACCAAAGTAATCCTTGAGAAGCCCAAAGTAGCTTTTCCACAGCACGTTCACCAAAGGAATCCCTGACCAGCGCAACTTAGCTCTTCCACACCACACTCGCCAAAGTAATCCCTGAGTAGCCCAACTTAGATCTTCCACAGCACGTTGACCAAAGTAATCCTTGAGAAGCCCAAAGTAGCTTTTTCACAGCACGTTCACCAAAGGAATCCCTGACTAGCCCAACTTAGCTCTTCCACACCACACTCGCCAAAGTAATCCCTGAGTAGCCCAAAGCAGTTCTTCCATAGCACACTCACCAAAGTGATCCCTGAGTATTTCAACGCAGCACTTCCACAGCATGTTCACCAAAGAGATCCCGGAGTAGCCCAAAGTAGCTCTTCCACAGCACGTTCCCCAGAGTGATCCCTGAGTTTTCAAGCTAGCTTTTCCACAGCACGTTCACCAAGGTGATCTCTGAGTAGCCCAAAGTGGCTCTTTCACAATACGCTCGCCAAACTGATCCTTGTTCACCAAAGTAATCCCTGAGTAATTCAACGTAGCACTTCCACAGCACATTTACCAAAATGACCTCTGAGTATTCACACCACATTCACCAAATTGATCCCTGAGTAGCTAAACCTAGCTGCCTAGTTCTTCCACAGCACATTCACAAATTGATTTCTAAGTAGTTCAACTTAGCTTGTCCACAGCAACCACAGTTTTTAGTAGCGCAACTTAGCTTCTCCACAGCACATTTACCAAAGAGATCGCAGGATAGTTGTAGACTTGTAATGTACTTATCAAAGCAATTTTTTCCCCACCCGTAGGACTGTGGGGTTGTTAGATTTTAAGAACTTTGGACTTCAGTAGACTCGCTACTTCTGCACATCCACCAGAGTGGTCCCAGCGTAGTTCAGAGCAACCCAAAGAACGCAGCACATCCACCAGAGTGGCCCACAGTGGCCCAGAGTAGCCCTTACACAGCACATCCACCAGAGTGGCCCCGAGTAGCCCAGCGTAGCCTTTACACCAGCACATTCACCAGAGTGCTCCCAAGTACCAGTTCCACAGCATATCCACCACAAGTTGACTTGGCAGGGATGCCGGGTTGCCAGGCATTAAAATATCGAAATTCAGAAACCTCACAAGTAAGTATTCGATGTGTGGTTTTGTTTTCAATAAAGAATCCTTTTCGCGCTGAACCGCTTTTCCCTTGTGAAGACCAATTCTTTGAGGGTGGGGAATTTTGAAGTAACGTAATTCGTTTGAGTAACGACGAATAAAAGGTGAAGATATTGATTCGAATTTTATGTTTAAGGGTCGTAGGGTTGGTTATGACGAGGACGGAATCGCTTTGCGATTTCTCGCGAAGCATTTTATTGAAAGATGCGTCCGACATCTTAAACACTAATACTTTCTATATTTCGTAATTTCGGTGTCGGAGCACTTTATATTATGGACTTCGGGTTCGATTAACGAAAATTTTTAATTTAGTTACTGCCGAGGCATCCCTAATTCTAGTCGCTAAGAGGGCCTAGATCTGGCCATTAGGACCACAAAAGGAGAATACCCCGGACGTTAAGGCTAACTTACGTCTACCGATGCTTATGATGTCTCGTTTGAAACTCTGGTACCAAAATTTCGCACTCTTAGCCAATCCAAAGGCAACTTTCTTCATTTTGAAAAGATTTGTTTTGGCTCCGGGAGGTACCTTGGTCATGAGGAATTCGCGGATAAACATCGGGTAGTTCTTGGGTGATTGGATGAAAATCCTTCGGTCTTCTGGAAGGTAGTTTCCTTGAAGGAATGCAGCTGAGATGTCTGCGAAAAACGTGCGCCATTTGTACTGCGCAGCGACAAAACACAGGAAGTTGTGGGCCATAAGCGAAGCTGTCGGAGCCTGTGTCTCAATATCGCTAGCTCGCTGATCTTTGTGCCCGACGATGACCAACGTGGCCTTCAATTTGGCATTTTCCAGATCCTCATCTTGTGGTTATTGGTTCTTTGGATCTGCCTTGTTGACCAGAACAAATTTGCTAGGAAGGATCTCTTCATCAAGCACCTTCTCATTAGGCATGACATGGGTCAGGGCGTCATACTTGCGTGACGGGACCTTCAAATGCCTTCTGCCAAGCTGGATTGAGCTGAGACCATTGAAGCCCAAGCCGGATCTTTCCCGTTGGTGGTTTCGGGATGTCCACCAAAGAAATATGCGATGGGTCATCCGCAACCAATATGGATATGGATTAGGATGAATTAGAGGATTGTTGCTCTCAAAGACTTCAAAAGCCGCTAGCACCTCCAATGCCAAAATCACATATCCAGT